CGTCCGGATGGCCGGCACCGCGCCGCATCTGCCCCATCGCTCCCCCTTCCCCTCCGCCCTGGTATGTGTGGGTGGGAAAAATTATTCCAGCTATTTCTTTTTATCGCTGGGAGCTGGGCTGAGCAGCAGATAGTTGTGTTTGTGTTAGATTGCTGGGGGGTGGGGAGAAGTTGGGGTTCGGGGCAGTAGCCCCCCGAGTCGGGGGCTTCCCCGGGGTCCTGAACCCCCCCTGCCTGGCTTCTGTCCGGCAAAGCCACGTGCCGGTGCTTGAAGGCAGCGGGTGGCCCCCCGCCCCCCGAGTCGGGGGCTTCCCCGGGGTCCTGAACCCCCCCTGCCCGGCCGGCAAAGCCACGTGCCGGTGCTTGAAGGCAGCGGGATGTTTGGCATCAGGCGGGGATGGCCCGGTGACACCTGTCCTGGATTGGGGACGTCAAAGGGGACCCTGTCCCTGCTGGGGTCTGTGCCTGCAGGTCCCTGCCATCAGTTCAGCCTCTGTCTGGGGACACTGCAGGGTGGAGGGATGCTCATGACGATTTGGGGACTCTGATGGGGTGAAGAGATGCTCAGATTCGTTTGGGAACATTGCTGAGGAGTAGAAGGATGCTCAGACCCGTTTGGGGGACACTGCTGGGGTGGAAGGATAGTTGGGCCAGTTTGGGGACACTGCTGGGGTGGAGGGATGCTCAGACCAGTTTGAGGACGCTGCCGGTGTGGAGGGAGGCTCGGGCCGGTTTGGGGACACTGCTGGAGTGGAGGGACACCCCTGCGTCGGGCAGCACGGGGGGCTGTTGAGATGTGCAGGCAGTGTCCCCCTCTCTGTCCCCATCCTCCCCTCCATTTTCCCTTGGGAAGGAGAAAAATGTCTTGCATACTTGGGGTGAGAGCCCTGAGGGCGATGCTGCCTGGCTGACGGTGACTGACAGCTGTCAATCACTGCTGCCTTGCCGCTCTGTCCTGGGCTGGATCTGAGGACCGGTTGGTTCTGGGCTTGGTGCAAAGCCAAGCTCCCACCCCCCGCCTCCATCTGGGTGCTGACCCGCCGGGGGTCCTTCCCCCCCCTCCCACAGGCAGGCCCTGCCCAGTGGGGCTGCAGCGACCCCCCCCATGCGGTCCCCTCTCCTTTCCGGAGGGGATATCTGCCCTCTGCATCGGCTCCGGGGGCCCCTTCGCTCCCCTTCCTCCCCCC